AATTACAGGAATGCCAAACACATTTATTATATTGGAAATTTATTCAACAAGGAAAAGGCATCATTGACCTTAGTATCACCATCCGCAAGTAATATACATTCGTGGTATATGTTTTTCTTTTTCTTGGAGGGAGGAGAGATATTTTTCCTGGTCTTCAAAGGGTCTATAAGGAAGCTTGATGTTCAGATCTTCGGTGGACGGTGACGAAGATGTAAGGAAAGAGACAGTGTCGGTGAGAAGGGAGAGAAGCAGATGTTCAGAGGGACGCTCTGGATGAGTGTTTAAGCATTTTGAGTGTTGAGCGGCTGAATATCAAAGAGGTCGAGAGGAGAGAAGCATGAAAATATCACGTGGCACAGCACCGTTATCCACCTCACCTGATTTTTAACGCCGTTTGTTTTGGAGGACCAAAAATTATGATTTCCTTAAGGTGAGGGATTAAATCGTACAAAGTTTGAAATAGGGACGAAAAACAAAATCGCTTGATAGTTAAGAGACTAAAAACATATTTAACCCTTCGGATATCCATATCCGATGAATAAATGTTTTTAAAAATTTATTTTTTATTTAAATTTTCAAAATTATTTATTTTAATTTAATATTTTAATATAATTTAAATGTATTTAAATGTTTTATTTAATATAAATTTATTTGATTTTAAGTAAATAATTGTTTTTAAATTTTTATTTTTATTTAAATTTTAATAATTATTTAATTTATTTTAGTTTTTTATTATAATTTAATATATTTAAATATATTAAATATTTTATTTAATATAATTTTATTTTTATTGTTATTATTTTTATTTTAATTATTTTATTTTTATACTTTTAATATAACTAGTATTATAATATAAATCATATTTTAATAATTATTAAAATATAAAATTATATTAAATAATATTTAAATTTTAAATTTAATTATTATTTTGGTGGTGTAAAGTGTTTTTAATAAGAAAAAGAAGAAAATAAAAAGATATTTTTAAAGTTAAAAATGAAATTTTTAAGAAAGTTGAAGGTGCAAGATAAGGATTAAATGTTATAAAGTTAAAAATATAATGTTGGAGTTTAGATGAAACACTCTTGTAATGTGAAATCCCGCAATGAGAAAATTGTTTAAGCAAACACAGAAATCTGGAAAACACCTGCGGCGTTTGGTTCATGGAATGAAGAGCAATTTTTTAAGGCCCAACCGTGTGCATGGTTTCGTGTTGTTTATTTTAATCAACCTTCCATTAATCCATCACTTCCCTAATAAACTTCCTATTCTTACGCCCCAAGAATTTCTCGTCGTGGATTCCTTCACGCCACCTTTTGAAAACAACAAATTTAAGACAGATTTATTATTTTCAACCACTTTTCTCATAAATTAGATTCTTAATAATTTAAGTCTTATATATTAAAAAAAGACACTGATTTTGCAATGGACATCATGTTGTCAAAGTTAAATATATACTTAGAAATGACTTAGCCATTTCATTTCATCCCTTTACTTTTTCCCTGATATGGAGCAATTTTTGGTAAATTATGTCATGATTTCAATAGAAGGACCAGTGTTACTATTTGCCACATCGAGCCTTTTGGTATTCTTTGTTTAATTTGTATCCCTTGTGAACTAGATTGGAGCAACCATATTGGTTTGACTGAGAAAACATTAAATTTGTTCAACCAAACTTACAATGCTTCCAACCTCAGCAAAAGGCAACAAAGTCAACCCTTGCCAGCTTTCAAATGCTTATGCCTCTCTGTTTCGTAATGTTTTATCCATGAATATAAGGAACGCATTCCAATACAACGCACAAAGTATACAAAATCAGCAATGGATGAAGTCCCAAATGATTGAACAAGTACACAAGTCAATAAGAAAGCAATAAACTAAAGTTTTCATTTTCATTAAGCGTGTCATGGTGTTGAAAATCCTGAAATCCTCCTTGAAAATAGCTGGTAAATGCATTAATGCTCAAGTTTTCCAATTGGGTTTCCATTCATTTATCATATTAAAGCAATTAAGCAAATCTCATGAGCTGTCAAACAGCCTTTTCGCATTGCATGTTTTGCTTTATATATCTTCACCCATAATATCACACACCCCCTTCATTACCAACATGGATATTCATAGTAATCACGGTGCAACTTCTGAAGGGATTCTTGAGAATGTATGGGCCAAAATTATGAGCAGCGATAAAGCAGATGGAAGAAAAGGTGACGCTGCAGAGTCTTGTAACTCTTGGGAAGAACTTCCTCACCTTGATGGAAGAGAAGGGTCCATGGAAATTCTACAAAGACTTCCAAGTTTAGGGAGGTGGATATCAATGGGAGCTGATTTCTGGGAAGAAGTTTTAGATGGTATTGTTCTACCTAACACAAGCAATACAGAATACTGTAGCGATAACAACATTGAAATTGGAAGTGCTGGTGAATGTAATAACAAGGTGGAAGGTGGTGTGAGAATGGAGAAGGAAGTTAGAAAACAGTACAGAGGAGTTAGGAGAAGACCTTGGGGTAAATATGCTGCAGAGATAAGAGACTCATCGAAGAAAGGTGCAAGAGTTTGGCTTGGAACATTTGAAACAGCTGAAGAAGCTGCTTTGGCTTATGACAAGGCCGCTTTGAGGATTAGGGGTCCAAAGGCATACCTTAATTTCCCACTTGAGAGGGTTGCAAAGGCTTTAGGATGTGACAAGAAGGAAAGTTTGATCAAGTCTAGGAAGAGGGAAGTGTTTGATGATGATACGATGAATGAAGAACCTGCAAGAAAAAAGTTGGAATGCATGGTAGAAAATGAACTAGGTGTTTTTGTATTTCAGGATCTAGGAAGTGATTACTTGGACAGTTTGCTGTCCTCTTTTTGACATTGATTCATACTGTTCATTAGTCTTTGGTGGTCACATTCATATGCAGAAATATTATAGTCATTATTTCTGTCATATTTTGCATATCTTTTGCTGTATTTGGCATCAAACTTAAAACCTAATGGTTTGGCAGAAAAAATGTTTAAGATGATAACGATTGATCTATACAGAGTTTTTCCACTTGATGTTTGTTTCCTTGTTAGCTCAAAACTATATTCTAAATTTGTTTGGCTGTGATTTAAGCTCTTGCATAACAAGTTCACGCAAGAATGGTCGCATACCAATCAAACTGAGTCATATTATTCATATTAATGGACATAAATGAATATAGACTTTATTTTGTATTATTTTATTTTATTGAATCGAAGTTTATTGAAGAAGAAAAAAAGGAAGAAATGGTAAAGGTGGGCAGAAGAAATATATAAACAGAAAAAGTGATTGGAATTGGACTGTGTAAGGCCTAAGGCCTGAGGCCCGTGCACTGTCTTTCATTTAAATGAAGAACCAACCAACATGACCCACTTTACTTTTGTAAAATGTTTTTTTCACATTAGGTTTACCATTTGAAAACTCGTTTTAGAGAAATTTTAGTTATTAAAAAAATTCGATTTTATATTTATAAAAAAATTAAAAAATAAAATATTAAATGTAGAGTATGTCTAAAATTTTGTTAGGTGTCAAAATAAAAGTAGCTTTTACTATTTCCTCGTCATCATGCAAACACAAACAAAACTTCAGCCTTTATTTTATCTTCCAACGCTTTTAAACATTCTTCTTTCTATATAATTTATTAATTTATGGATTCTCGATGAATCATATCCGCCACGCCATTACAAAGAAACACCCTTCTTAATTCACTTTCTAATGCATTTTAATTATTAATTACAATATGTTTAAACCTTCAAATTATTTGGAGTGATTTAAGGTTGAGTTGAGTTAATCAAGATTTATATATATATATATATATATATATATATATACTCATTGTTCAATCCACTAAAGAATATCATATTAGATTTAGTTGAATTTTTATAGTTTGTTATATTAAATTCAATTAAGCTCAATTCAGTCCCGAACGAGTTGAATTAAATTAAACATTAAAATTTTTGAAAAATCTAACTTTTTAAAAAAAGATATAATTTTAAAGTATCAATCTGGATAACAAATAACATAACATTTTATAAAATTTAATCCAAAACATAATACAATAAAAATAAAATTAATCAAATTTAGTAGATAAATAACAAGTCAATAAGTAACGTTATAATAAGTCTATATAAATTAATTAAAGATATAAAAAAAAACATAATATAACTTATCTGTAACACAAGTACAAAATTAAGCGTGACTTCATTCGTACTAAATCTATTACTTACAACCTGCATAAAAGAGGGTTCCAAAAAGCCTTTTTATATATTAAATAAAACTAAAAACGAACTAAAATACATTCCAAACATAATTAATATCTCTATATTCAAACATATTTTTTAAACTATACGAAGACATATTGAATTGATACTTTACAAGATGTAAAAATACATTTTCCAATGCGTTATAATAATATATATATGAGACTACATAATTCAGAGAATTTGGTTCTCCATTTTTTTAATTACACAGTTTCAATGTATATCTAAATAAATACGCATTTTGACACCTTACCTTTCCAATTAGCGAAAAAAGAACATTTAATTCATGACAAACTACCATATACGTTTCCTTAGGAGCATTTGAAGCCGTGATGAAATTGTCTTGGAGAGTTACACCATTTTTGTTGGATAGAATTGAAATTCAAAGCAGGAGATCCACGTGGAGAAACGGAAAACAAATTTTCCTTGACTGTGATTAAGTTAGATAACAGTGGTTTTCATTTTGGCAATATAATAAAATAATAATCCGATATTTAAGAAAAGGCAGTGCAATGCAACATCGATTGAAACGGGGCTTTTAGGAGCAATTAACAAAAGCAGCACTACAAGTGACTGTGATGATATATACGTGCTCACTTTCCAATCACTTCAAACAATCTTTATACACACTCTGAAACCCATAGCAAAGGTAAAAACAAAGGACCACTTAATCCAGAACCATATGAACTGAACCCGTTCACGATCATGGTATCTATTTAATTAATTAATTAATTAATTAATTAATTAATTAATTAATTAATTATTGTCTTCCAGTAATGACAGACAGATACAAATAATTTGTAGTGGTAATAATTAAACCAAACCATGATAAACCAACCCATTCCAGAAAGAAAAAATAAAAATAAATTTCTACATTTGTGCAACCCCTAACTAGTGCTACTTGTGCTTTCTGACCGAGACCCATTTACCTGAGTGGAATTGTTCGTGGTGCAAGAGCTTCCACCACTACAATCAGAAACAGCATCGTTGTTATTATTATTATTATTATTATTATTGAACGATGACTCCGAGGCCGCAGCCACGATTTCGGCTGGGAAATTCAGCAAAGCCTTGGCGCCTCTCATCTTGAAGGCGGCGCGGTCGTAAGCCATGGCGGCCTCTTCGGCGGTCTGGAAGGTGCCGAGCCATATTCTGGCGCCGTGGCGTGCGGAGTCCCGAATCTCGGCGGCGTACTTCCCCCAGGGTCGGCGGCGAACTCCTCTGTAGTGTTTTTTGGCGATGTTTCTGGTGGGCTCGAGGCCCAATTGCGGTTGGTGGAGTCGTTGGTGAGGGTGGAATGTGTTGGAGAGAGCATTGGCCTCGTTGAGAACTTGGTATATGACCATGTCCTGAGGGTCGTTCTCGTTGAAGGGTAAGAACTCTGTTTGGAATTGAGAAAAGGAGAGCCTGCTCTGTTCCTCGTAGTTTTTGTTGGTTCCCATGTTTGTTTGAGCGAGTCTCTGTTTTTGTTTCCTCTGCGTTTGTCTGGTTTTTGAAGAGAGGAGAAGTTGGCAAAGGTGTGTCAAGTGGTTTTGGACTTGGCATATATCTATGGAATAAATGGGAAAAGGCGAAGGCATAGAATATTTTGTGGCAGATGAGAAAGGGTTTTGGGACTCACTTTCTTTCCTACTTCCTCTTTCCCTCGTGCCCTTGCCCTACTATCGCCATCACTTCTACTTCTTAATTACAATATTGCACTTCTTCCCTTCAAAATTAATTTGCATAATTATTATTCAATAATATTTCTTCCACTTAATTATTCCACACATTTATAGTGTTTGTGGGTTGCTTCGATAATTGAATATGAGAGTGAAGACAAATAGCTTTCGGAGTTGGCCGCAACAATCATTATTGTTCGTTTCTATTTTGAAAGCTTAAGTACTTCTATTTTGCCTTGGATGAAATTTTATATAAATAAAAATAAATTATAAATAAGTTCATAATTTTTTTCTCTGAACACATACAACCACAACTGATTCGCAGTTCTCTTAACAACGAATCCACATAAACGATCTCATTCTTGATGTTTATTTACCGCTATAGAACATTTACAAACTGCTATATTTTTCGTGGAAACCCATCCATACAGTATAACACAAAGTCTTGTACGGATGATTAATACCAGCTTTTCTTAAATGAATGAATAGACAATTTAGTGTGATGTTACCTTTTCGGTTGTTAAGGTTTAGGCATGTAAAGAGAACCAGATCTTTGACAGAAAATTTACAACCTTTGACTGCCAATCTAATCGCTCTATTTGGAGCTTTTCCTTTTTTTAATGTCTTTCATATAAGCAGCAGCTATATTATTGTGAAGGTTCCATTGAAATTTTACTCTATTGTTTGTAACAGTGTGATTTTGGTTTTGAAATTTTACAGGAGTAAATAAATTCTTTACAAAATTATAGATATATAATTTCATTTTCTTTTCTAATTTTTCATCAGATATTAACAAATTGTGTTGACATATTAGATAATAAGTTGATAATTAATGTATTCTTTTACATGTATACTTTTTTTATTGGAATGTTGATAACTTTTTTAATAATTTTTTGATAACAGCACATGTTATTATTTTATTGTTCTGTTTGAATTTATCTTTTTTTAAATTATTTGAAATTGATCAATCACTGTTAAAGAAAAGTTGTTAAAAGAATATTTTTTTATTATGGTGGTAATAAACAATGCTAATATTATAATTAAATAGTATCAATGTGTAAGTAACACGACAATTTTTATAATGTATATTCATAACTGATGAAAAAAGTAACACGAGATAAAACCATAAATTAAATATTAACGGATGGTGGAATTTCGCTTTGGGCAGCTAATTTTCAACTATAATAATGATCCTTTTGGAGAGAGTGCCAAATTGTTTTTTCACTGTTTAACTAATCGGAAAAGACTATTATAATACATTATAGTGTGTAAAACGTATTTGACTAATAAGAATTTTGTATTAATGACATAACAATTTTATCTGGAAAATCGATCAAGCCCCAATATGTCCATCTGGCACACGGTATCAAAATCATGATCGAGACATCTTTTGAGTCATTGATTAAGTTAAGATTAGCAGATTATATAAAAGCATTTTTCTTAACAATAACAGAAACAAAACAGATAAATTAATAAAATAACGATTTAATTATTAAATTTTAAATATAATAGTTATATTAAATTTAAGTTAAGTTATACTGAGTTGGTAAAGTTATTTTACGAGAATAAAGGTCATCCAACTTTACAAAATTGAAGCTCAATCAATTTCTCGGCAGAAAACGTAAATGAAAAAACCTCAAAATCGGGAGGGGTAATTTCGCAATTTAAAGGGAAAGCGATGGCAAAGAAAAGGAGCCATGACAGCTCAACATATTCCAAACTCATTCCAATTTGGTAATGACGTCACCTGTGCCGTCATCTTCTCTTTGATGACGTAGGCTTTCTGGAACATTTGGAAAAATTCCATTGTATATGACGTAAGCATCATATGAAAGGGTATGTAGATAAAATAGGTGGGTCCCTCAGTTACTAGAAGTCTTATACTAGTCTTTGTTTCTGACTTTTCAGCTACTTTTCTTTTTTCTTTTTTCTTTTTTTTCTAAATCACTTTTTTTTATATGAATAGTTTGGTGCCCATTAAATCTTTGACTTTGTAAGGACTTTTGTTTACAAGATATTTTAGGTAGAAAAATAATTAACGAAGCTTTTTAGTATATCATTAAATAACATGTTACAGTGGTCACCCAGTCAGAACATTCTTCTCTTATCTTTCTTTGGAGGGCTTAAAATAAAAAATATAAGTGGAGAACACCTATGACGTTAAGAAAAATAACTTTTTCGTTTAACTCGTGTATTTTTTTATTAGAAAATATAAGCATGGGTGTTGAAAAGAAAGTAATGTACAAATTTATCATTTTTTTTATGTACGACAACTTTTCCTATTTCACACTCATTCATGTTTGGTTTATTGATGTTATTGTTGGGTGTTTATAGAACAGTATTGAGAGGAAGACAAACCAAAGTTTGATATTGAATTTGTTTGATTATAAAAAGTCTTCAAAGGCTTTTCTCTTTCTGAACGTAATCAATTCAAAGTTGGGTTCTGGTTGCAGTTCTTAAAAGTTGGACTAGGAGCCTGAAAAAATGTTTAACCCAGTGGAGCATGAGGGGAAAGACTGAACAAAGGTAGTTAGTTTGAATATATATTGAATTCAGATTTTTTAAATTTCACCAATATGTACAAAGGCATTTTAAAATGTCAAATTAAAGTATTTCGGACCATTAATTTTGGAGTCAAATCAGAAACAGAATCTACAAAATAAGTAGGTCTTCAAGCCAATAAAATACCTATCCTTAAATATCGAAATAATTTAATAATGAAAAAAGAATCATGAAAAGAGGTTTGTTGTAGTCGCTGATTTAAAAGTCGTTAGTTCGTGTCAGACTAAAATTGGACATTTATATTATTACGATGAGATAAATTTAGTTGTTCGTTTTTTATTATTGTCCACTAACTTGGTCTCTGTCAAAATAAAACTACACGAGGGATTAAATTAACTAATAAAATGCACAAACGATGGGCTACACGAAACAATACAAGATTGTTAAGTGCAGTTGGGTTTATATTAAATATGCGTAGGTTTAAAACCATTTGAAGAAACATAAAATGTCTTAATCTTTTGATTTAAGCAAGTGTGTACACCGTGCATGCATACGAAAATATGGGTTGAATTACATATAAATAAAGAAAGAGGGTTACTTCAAACATAAACATATTGGGATGGAGAAGAGTGTGTGGGTCCTAACCTGCTTAAATATACAATATACTGATATATGAAATAATGTATTATATGTCTATTTGATTAAATTTAGACCATCTAAATGATCTAATTCTAAAAATGTCATTAAAAGGTTCAGCGAACTGGAAAAAATCAAGTATTTGAAAATTTACCTCTCACACAGTGGGAAGATTTGGTGATCCAGTGAGAAGACATTTTTTTTTATGATCCTTTAAAGTGTCGAAAGTTTACCAAAAAAATATTTTTTTTATGTTAGAATGCAGGTGAAGGTTGAAGTATTCCACTCCAGTGTTATAGATGTATATGAGTAGCTAAACTCAATTTTATTGGAATTGGAAGTAATGTATCTAAATTTTTTGTAGTTATTTTTATGTAATAGACAATCTTTCATATCTCTTGTGTTCTATCCTTTTTACATATTTACATGATGAAATATATTTGCTATTTAATGGTATCTAATTATTGAAAAATGTTTTACAAATTAGATATAAATAAAACAATAAAAAAATTTAGCTCTAGACATAAACAAACTATGGTTACAACAAAATCCAACGTAAAAGTCATATTGGATTTTAATTTCATTTTAACCAATTTTCAATTATATTTTTCAATTAGACTTTTTCATTCAAAGGAAATCTAAGTGCTTCTTTTAAAATAATATTTACAAGTTAAACAAACATTAAAATAACAATTTTTTTATTTGAATTAAATAGTTAACTAATTTCTTATTTTACCTTTTTTTTCATCTACATAGTAAATGAATATGAAAATTATTTAAAGTTTAAAAGATACAACAAAAATAAAAATAGAAGAAAATTTCCCCAGAATTAAAACAAATGTAAAAGAAAAGAGAGAATAATAAATCATTAAAAGTAAAACAGAATTCATTGTCTCATTATTAAAATTGTATTCACATGAATAGATACTACTGTTTATTTAGATCTGTGAAGACGGAATTACAAAATAAATTGCATTGGTTTTCATTGATTCAGAAGCGATGCACTGCGCTGATTTGCAGGATTAGTAAAAATTTCAATCTTCACTCTTTGCGTGCATTTGTACGGATTTAAAACAACTTTTGATGAATAATCTCGTTTGCCCTCATTCAATTTTCACTGTTCCACACGTATTCCAGCACAGCACCAGTAAATCACATATTCATACACCTCTTTCACCACTCATAAAATTGTTCCATCATCCAATTAATCTGTTTTTTTTCATCGTTAGTTTAGGAGTGAAGAAAACAAACCCCAAACAATACTTCAACTTATTTTTCGTTAACTGTTATAAATTATGCATTTTTATAATTCAAAAATTTATATTTGAGTCTAATAAAATTGTTATAATGGTGTTTTATGTAAGTGAAGTTTATTTGCAATTATTATTTTTTGGGTGAAGTTTAAAAGAAATAATTAAATTGCAATTTCTTTACATTTTTACAATTAAATAAAATCATACCACTTGGTAGTAAATTATATTACAAAAAATATTACATTTAAAAATAAATTTATTTTACTAAATTATAATTTTTTTACATTTTAAAAATTAATTTTAATAATTTGTGTTAATTTTTTAATCTTTATAAACATTTTTACAATTAAATATAACATTAACAATTATTATCATTTTATATTACTTTAATAAGTAGAGA